ATTATTATTATTATTATTATTATTATTATTATTATTATTATTATTATTATTATTATTATTATTATTATTATTATTATTATTATTATTATTATTATTATTATTATTATTATTATTATTATTATTATTATTATTATTATTATTATTATTATTATTATTATTATTATTATTATTATTATTATTATTATTATTATTATTATTATTATTATTATTATTATTATTATACTTATTATTATTATTATTATTATTATTATTATTATTATTATTATTATTATTATTATTATTATTATTATTATTATTATTATTATTATTATTATAATTATAATTATAATTATAATTATAATTATTATAATTATAATTATTATTATTATAATTATTAATTATTATTATTATTACTGTTATTATTATTAATTATTATTACCTGGCCAGCTTGTAAAAGGCACATTTCTTTTTGCTGTTTTTTTGTTTCACAATACACTCGTGAATATAATACAATCATAATTACAAGAGGTAACCAAAATGCGGCAATTGTTGTACCAACGGATGCAAATTGATTTGTTTCAATAAATTGCACAACGCAACGATCAGGATGAGTAAATTGACCTGAAATTAGTAAGTTCTAATATCTAATATAAAATCTACCAAATAGATAAATGAATTGCAGTAATTTTGTTATAAATAGAATGTTATAAATGGAAAATTCATGATAAAATTTATTATTATTATAAACACGAACGACTGAGGCTTTTTACTTCCTCAATTAATAAAATAGCGCGATGATTCTTGATAGGAAAATGTGTTTTAAATATATTCGTCCAAAGCAAATGGTCGTTCTTGTAATTTATGAAATAGGGGAAATAATTTGTGGGATAATTTTTTAACGGTGAAAAGATTTTTTTTTGCTCAATAAATTTTTCACTTTTTTTCCGTCACATTTCCTCTGAGAAAGAAATAAAGAAGCAGAAAATCAATACTTTATAATAGAATTTGAAAGTTGACAAAACCTTCAATATAGGGCCAACTAATAATCCATGGTGGCCAAAGCATGGCTGAAGCAATATACGTACTAGCAATCATCAGGAATGCTTTCTTTGCGGTTCGTCTGTAAATGGCAAATTGTTCGATTTATTTACTTGAATGGAGATGATCTTATTTATTGTAAAAATTATTGTAATATAATAATTTTTGGTTAAATATATTACTATAATAATTATTGTAATAATTAATTTATTTATTATAATAAATAACAGAAAAATAATTTCTAATAATGATAGCAGAAAGATAATGTTTACCTTTTTAATTTTTTAGAATAAATTATAGAAATGAATAGAGCCAAACAAACCTTGGACGATAAGTTAATGGCCTAGTAACTGAGAAATATCGATCGAATGAAATTAGTAATAAATTGAGCACGGATGCATTGCTCATCATATAATCGAGGCATAACCAGAACTGACACATTGAATAACCTAAACCCCAAACAGTATCAGCGGCCATATAATATGTCATTACTGGGATCGACACTATTCCTAAAATTTTTTTTGTCAACAATATTAGAAAATGAGGTATTACACAACCTAAACATCCAGCAATATCTGTCGTATAAAATGTCATTACTGGAATTAACATCTTTTTTTTTTTGACCAAGATGCTGAAAATGATGCATCGTATAATCCACCAAATATTATATCATTACTGGGATCAACAGCAATCTTGAAATTTGTCCATTTTTTTTTCTTGGCCTAGTTTATTCGAAAATCAATGGAATATCTTGGATATAGCTATGTTTAAAATGTTTATATCTCCAAACAAAGATATGGGAAAGTGGACTTGAAGAATTATTAAAATTCAAAGATATTCGTTTCATCGTATCATTCTTTACGATGCATTTGGGAATTCGACGCGAATGCACTGTTAGGACTTTTATCGATAAGAAAAAAGGATAAAGGGAAAAGTGATGCTTTGAGTTTAATTTGTCCAGTTGATTGAAAGCTTTGATAAAATTATATCCTTTTTATTTTTTGATTCTTTTTACTTTAAATTATAAAAAAAGGATTTGTTTTAAATTGTCATTAATCAATTTGGAATTTAACAAATTTCTTTTTGCTACTGATGAAATCTGGCAATTTTAACTTACTTAAAAAAAAGTTACTAAGTAGCGAAGACTGGTTTTTTAAGGAGAGGAAAAATAGGAATAAAAACATTAAATATATGCATATTTTGCTCCTTATTTTTGAGATTAGAATTCATTTTGATGAGCAAAAAAATTGTGTCATAAAAACGCTTTGATTGTTTTTATTTGTCAAAAATGAACAATTTGTGCGTTTGTTCAAAGATGAACAAAAGAAATTTAAGTGCCATAGCTTAAAAAAAAGAAAAAAATTATTATGCTTTTTTAAATGTTTAATTGGTCCAAGGAGAAAATGCAAACCACAGGTAGGATAAAAACATACCTAAAGAAGGTGTAGAAATAAGATAAGTAAACAAATACCCGCCGGGTAATTTTAATTTTACATTTAACCAAATAAGCAGCAAAACTATCAAAAGTTAGAAGTTAGAACTATTAAAAGAACCATTAAAAGTTAGAAGTTAGAAAATTCCTTTAAGCAAACTATTATATGGTATTAATTTTAATTATCATTACGAAAAATCGAAATCTTTAATAGCTTTGAAAAATAAAATAAAATAAAATAAATAATCCTTTTATTTGGTAAATTTAATTATGCAAATTACAAGCTTCCTTGTTTTCTTAAACTTCGCAGTAAATACTACAATATTATTTCTAAATTTTTGGATTTGTGTTCGAGAAAATATTAGAAAATAAAATTTCGGAAAAAATAAAAAAGAAAAATTAATACCAATAGCAATATCAGCAACAGCAAGACTGAATAAGAAATAATTACTGATTGTTTGCAACTGTTTGTCAATTTTGAAGCTTACCATAACCATTAAATTACCACCTGTTGTTAAAAAAGCAAATACACTTCCAATCGCTATGATACATATAAATCTGTAATAGAATTAATCAAAAGAATAATGAAAATTATGGAACAATATTATCCAAATGTAATTTAATAATTTACAATACTTTATTTTATTACTATTTGTATGTGTTGAGTGAATTTTCTCATCAAATATTCAATTTTTAACAATTTAGAATTATTGTTTAGCACTTTTTCCATTAACGAATTTTGGAGAATATTTATGACAGTTTTATTTTTTGAAGTTATCATAATTTTTTATAAAATTTAAAATTTTTAAAGTTTCACAATCAACTGCGCGAAATTAATTTCATTTGCTCGAATAATTAATTATTTGCTTATTATTAAATGAAACATGTAAAAAAATTATTCTGGGTTGAAAACTTTGTTAAATGTCAAGTCAATTCATTCACCCAAAATAAAATTTATAAAAATACACAAAATCAATTGATAGCAGTGAAACATGCCTTAAAATGTTTTGTCTCTGAGTCATTTATATTTAAATAACTCAGAGATTTTATTTAAATAGATGTGAATACAAAGTTTTCACAATTCATGTGTACATCAATTCAATAAATCATTTTTAAATCAATTAAATCAACAAATTCGATGACATATATAGTACCAGACTTTCTTATATATATATATATATATATATATATGAAATTAATTAATAACGTCGAAATTTACTTTGGATGGAAAGCATCCTATTTTATGTCTAAATAATTTAAAAATCTGGTGTTAAACTATGTAAAAACATGAGCTTTCTTGTTAATTAATTAATTTAGCAAATTTTCCCCATCGAATTAATTGAATTACTAAAGCAATTGCGTCAAATGAGTTACTTCGGATGATCCATTCGTTGCTGTATGTGTTCGATGGTAACATTCGATAACATCTCATTAGTTCTGTTAATTATGTTATCGTTCATTGATGTTTGTTTGGAATAAAATAATGGTGTCGTTGTCGTTGTATGATTAAAAATAAAAGTTAATTCAGGTAGGGCTGAACGTTCATTATCATAAGAGGTCGATGATGCAAGCACCTGTAATGTCGATTTGGTGAAATTATTTTTGAATTTTACAGGAATTTTTATTAATCACACATTTAAATGCGTCATTTTTATTGAAACTAGATGCCAAAGAATTTCTGGGAAAGAAGTAAAGCGATAGTATTATCACTTCTATTCATTCTATCCAGCAGATTTAATTTAGTTTAAATGAAGTTTATTGCTATGATTGAACACAAAAGAAAAAAACATTCGGTCTCAAGTTAGTTTCAGTTTATTAAATTTATTGAATTAGATTTAATTCCGCAAAAATTTGATAGCATTTAATAAGTTAAACTAATTAAATTGTTATCACTCAATTAAAAAAAAAAAAGAAAATAAAGGAAATATTCAATCATAAGCAGGATTTATTACATTTGATGCCCTAATTCAGCCTAAGAAAATTCTAAACTTATAATTTAAAATTTACTTCAAATATATAAAGCATAAACACATGTGTATGTATGCTATAAAATAACCAAAACGAAATAAAAATTCATAAGCGATCATAAAATCAAAGAGAAAGGAATGTTTAATGGGAATTGAAAAGATTAAAATGAAATGATTGGAAAAATTTGCATGATGAGGAGGAAAAAGGAAAGACACATCAAGTAATCATTATGAATCATTTTGAGATATGACTGATATAGAAGTTTTTAGAAGATTTCGATTTGGTAAAATTTTGACGGTGATACTGAGTTGAAGCAAAATCGAAATGTATTGTTGAGATTGGAATGAGTTGAGTGAATCGATGAGAGATTCCTTGATGGATAATCCAAACTCTTTATGTAGTTGAGAATTCGTTTACAATATTTGACACCATTGAATATAAGCTTGATAACAGATTTCAAAAATCTTTATAACATTTCAAACATTCCGTTATAAATTTAGTTATCAGACTGAAAGATGAAATGACTCATAACTAGATATCAAAACATTTGTTTTTATTTTCTTCGTTTTTTTCTTTTGTGTAATGAATTATTCGCTGAAAAATATTTTATATAAAACAAAATTTATATGAAAATTTTCTATATTATGGATTTATTTCAATTATACCAAAATAGTTGCATAATAATAAAGAGAAGGGGAGGGGGAAAAAAAACTTTTCTGACACATTTTGATATCATAAAATATTTTTGGTTATTCGGACAATGACCAGAACAAAAAATATCCATCTACTATTGATAGAGAGGAAGTGCAAAGAAAGTAGTACGATTCAAAATTATTATTATGAGATAAGTGAAGCATAAATGAACGTTTTGCTTTACTTTTACATATAATATTTAGCTGTTTTAGTTTTGGCTCTTTTTTATTTTCACTAGACTTAAGGCTCTTTCACAATAGCTTCATTTTTCTTTTTTTTTTTCTCGTGCTGTTTATGACCATTGATGCTTAACAAATATGCAATATGCCAAGTAATGCCATCTTACTGCCTTATTAATTTACCTGTATATCTCCTTTTCTTTGGCCACAAATTTTTCTTCTCTTTCCCTTTTTCCTTATTTGCCTAGTTGAGTGTATATTTAGAACAATTTTTGTTTCTTCTTTCCTCCCTCATTTCTTATCTTTTCAAATTCCTGACTTAAAATATTGCTATTAATCCTAAAAATTAACATTGCTAACTATTTGTGTTAAATTTTTATTTTGTTTTATGAAAAAAGTTTGTCAACGGATTTTAAGGAAAAATCCAGCGAAGGAAGACTGATTGATTAATTGCTTTCAACAACAATTTTACTAAATGATTTTGTTTTTTTATTCTCTCTTTTTCTTTATTGCTTTTTAAGGAGTAAGTAAGAAAAAAATACTAATGTAAGAATTCTCCCAAAATCCCTAACATAATAATTTATAAGCAAATAAGTTGGTAAAATTTTATGAAAAAGATTATTTAGCAAATAAATACAGTCATGTGAATAGCAATAAACAATAAATAATGACATATTAAAAGAATTAGAAAAAATCTACATAAACATACAAACATCTCATGGGAATGTTATATAATATTTATTAATGAAGTAAAACAGCGAATATATGATAACAATTCAAATTTATTACTAAAATGAAAGCAAAACAAAAAAAAAAAGTAAAAAAAGACAAACAGCAATAAGCAATAAAATTTGTATATTTTTCTGGAAAATTAAAGAGAATTTAGAAAATTCTGGGATATAACTGGAGTATAAACTGCAACAAATATTTGTTTGTTCTAATTTTGATAAATCATAAAACTTGAAATTAATCACATCAAGCGGCAAGCTATAAAAAGTCAAATATTTTGATAAAAATTTGACTAAATATTCGAGAAACTATCAAACACAGTTTGGGAATTTTTTCCTGCTACTTCATCACCAAACCTAATAATACTTAACAATGACTTTAATTAAATAAATTTCACAAATGTTAAAATGTAATCGCTTAAAATAATTGGAAAGCATAAATAAGTTTTTAATCGTATATTTTATCATATGAATTTACAAAATCAGTATGATGTAATTCAAAAGTGAACAAATCCATTTATATATACTGAAAATTACTCAAACTTAAGTTCGATATTTGGAAAAAAAATTAGCTTATTAAGAAAAAAAAGTTCGACATAGTAATTTTGTAGTCAAATTGTTGTACTTTGAAGTTTCGAAAATTATGGACCTCAAAATTTAATTTTATTTTTCTTTTTATCAGTGGTGAAATAATTATTTACCTGCATGACAATTCGAAATATTTTGGAACGAACGAAAGATCCAGGTAGTGTACGCAAAATATGGTCATACGCCGTTGTTGTCGCTGATATTGTTGATGATGATAATGATGATGCCATCCTTCTCTTTAAAATTAAATCACCAATCTACCTTTGATTATGATCTTTCTTTACTGATAAAAAATATGCATTCAAAATAACTTAATCATAGAAAACACTGACTGATTACTTAAATAAGCTATATGAAATGGAAATTTCTGATGAAGTAATAAAGTCAATAGTAAATTTGAGGAAAATCATTGAAATATTGAGTAATCAGTTAAATAGCATGTATGAAATAGAAATTAATGATTAAATCGTAAATTCGGTAAGGGAAAAGGAGAAAAAAAGAACTGAAATTAGTGGGAAAAAAATAGTATGAAATTATAATTAATTAAATAATAAACACAAAACATTAATGCTTAAGTAATAACTAAAAATTAATTAAGTAAGAAAATATGGGGAAAAGCTTTCAAACGTTAGTCTGAAAATCAGTTAGCTAAGTGAAATATTCTTCCCGAAAAATTTGTCATCCTATATTACATAGATTATTTATTTGCTCCCCTTTTATTCATTATAAATTTTATGGTATATTTAGATTACATTGTAAAAATTGTTTTTTACATTAAAGAAAAAAAAGAAAAAACATCATTTCATGACAGTATTCGTAGTAAAGAATAATTCAATAATGGATATCTAAATGGAAAAAAAAAAGGCATTAAATATGACAATGCTTAGATGACCATTAATGTTTCTACAACTGCAGTCCAATAAGATTATTGAAAACTTTTTGTTTCGAGTACTAAAAATTCTAGAAATGAAGTTACGTGAGGTGTTACGAGAAATCTATTTGAGCAAAGGATTCCAGCATTGTTTAATTGTTTCATTTAATTCGACCTATTAATAATTTGACCATTGACCTCCTTCACGATGGACATCTAGCAAATAAACTGTCCAAAATTAAAATATGGAGTTTTTTGCTGGTGATCTTTCATGAAAACAAAGAAAACCAGATATCTATGAAATAGGCCAGAAAGAGTATTAGGAAAATATCAAAATATCAGCAATTCAAAAAAGAAGCAAAAACTGAGGGTATACGAGAAAACAATATAATTTACAGCAGAATCGTTGACTCAGATTTTCTTTAATGAATTTATTGTTTTACAAAATCATCTGTTGGTTCTGATTTTCACCAACAAATTCATATGAAATAATATATTTGAATCTAAAGCTTTGTACATCACTAAAAACATTAATAAAATGCTTATTGATTGATAACAGTACTATTTGTCTGCTATAATATTTACTTTTTTCATTTGTTTAACTAAAAAAAAATAAAGTTTGAAAATTTTGAATCTGCTTAAATTTTTTTCGCGTATTTCAATCCAACAAACATTTATTTTTTCTGGATTGAAATTTTTCCTACTTTTTCTTGACATAAAATCTATCAAACTGTCAAATGAAATAGATTTCAATAGAAATAATTCTTTCAAAGAGGTAAAAAAGTAAGAGATAAGCAAAAGCCATCAAAAGCAATAATTAATTGAAAACAATTAGCTATCAGAATGATGAAAAAAGAAAAAAGGAAGGATGAAAATGATAGAAATATCGTAATGACATAAGAATGAGCAATGAAATACACTAAATATTCGAATATACCAAAATTGAATGGTATTATATTTGCATATTTATTAAAAAGTATCTTGAGAAATACTTGCAAGAAAGTTGAAGTAAAAGAAAGAGCTGAGAAAAAGACGACGATACCTAAGCCTTTTTCTAATCTTCGCCTTTTTCTTTGTTTACTTCTATGCTTTTTGATCTATCGATGTTGTTAAATTGGTCCCTTCTGAATGGAAATCCAAAAAAAAAGTCAAAATTGATGACGAAAGTGGGACATCAATATCATCATCGTCTTCATTTCAAAATTATCTTCCTATTTCTCAATTATACTTAATTTACAAAACTAATAATTTATACAATATAGTAAAGCCATCATGCTAATATATATATGACAACCTTTAAGCGTATATTAAATATAAAATCATTTTCTATCACTTTTATGATGTAACTGATATATCATACATGGAAATTGTTTGATCATTAAAAACAAGCATTTTTGTTTTTTCTAAGGAAACTATAATGAGGTATGGTAAGGAATTACAATGATAATTAAAAATTTGTCTTCTAATAATTGACAATTGGTCTATCAGTAGCTTTTCTGAAGAAAATGGAAGTGAGAAATATTATTGCGTTGAGAATTATTATTTTATTCGTTGAAAACAAAAATAATGATAAATATCCTTGAAAACAAAGATAATTATTGTTGTCGGCAAATGAAGAGCTA